TTAAGAATTTTCCATCCCCTCTCCAAAAAATAATGGTCTGTCCCTAAAGGGGGGCGATATTCCTAGGAATTTCGCCCCCCGGGGGGGGCGAAATTGTGGGTGGGGGGGCGAAAATCCTGGGACACCTGTAACTTATAAGGCCCAGCAACTATAGGTTTGTTCTTTGGATTTTCTAATAAAAGTTGGTCATGACAACAACTGCGGAAACATTACAGCAGACCATTTACCTTGTTTGGATACTGCTATATTCAAATCAGAATACTTACTATGCAAATCTAGGATACTAAATTACAAAGCGGGATACCGTGATCAGTTTTTAAGGCGCCAGTGTCAACTTGGATATTCGCACCTATAATAGCACTTAATAATTATGCCCCTGCGCTTACTAATTTTTGTTATTTTCGAGCTGATTTATTACTCATTAATTTTACATATAAGGTGCTTGGTTATCAAACTTTGGAATGATGATTTTGAAATTTACTTAAAACAGATTTATATATAAAACTTGTGTTGCGTGAAAATAAACAAGGAACTCTGTGCAAATGAGTTACAACAAATGCTCACACCCGAAAGCTCCTGTTTCTAGTAAGGGGGATGAGAAACCTCAAGAAGGAGAACTCTTTAAAGTGAAATTAAAATCAACAAGACCAGCAGCTGAACCTAACAAAGATGAACCGGCAGAGAGTACTCAAAGTGAAGATAATGCAAATAATAATAGTGAAGGCAAAACAAGAACTCCACCTATAAAAGATCGTTCAAAAATGTTTCAAAGTCAAAATGGTTCTCCTGGAAAACCCCCTGTTCCCTGCAAATCAACTGTGCTTAGTAAGATATCTGTCACTGGAGCAAAACCAACTGTTCCAATTAAACCACCAGTGAATGGTAATCAAAACACAGGAGTAACACGTGCAAGACCACCAAGTGTAATCAGTAAACCAGAGTAAGTATAATATCATCAAATTGTAATGGCCGGTAAGTAATGAGCAACAAAAAACGCGTTAATTGCAGTTTTAACTTGTTTTAAAAGTGGGCATTTTATTATAACAGGTGACCAGTATAGGATTAAAACTGATTAAACTGCGCATTAAAACATTCAAAATAAAATATTTTGGGGCTTTTGGGCTGCGAAATACTATAAAAATCAAGAAAGAAGTGAGACGAATCCACTGGTATAGGGCCGAAAAAGGAAAACCAACGATACTAAAGTTATCAAATATCAGGCTTGGATAAAACGTATTGCATATTTAATATATTATAATTTTGAGCGATTTATCAACAATACAATTTCGCTTGGCTTTCAAAGACAAAAGCCATAAATTGCTAGAATACTGTTGTTTATTGTAATACATTTGACATCCATAAGTACAATTTCTTACGCTGAATCGAACTGTGGTATTTTTAGCCCTATATATTGCACCATTAATAGGCGTTACAAATACAAAATCATATTTCACACAACAGTTTTCGCATTTCCACAGCTAACTATTAGGGACTATGGTTGGATAAATTTTATATTGATACGACACCAATATACTAGCTTCTCATAAAGTAGTTATCTATTAAAACTAC